GCATGCTGAAGTTTGACAATAAATTGATAAACGAAATAAAAGACACTTGTGGGACTCACAAAGATTATCGTTTGTGTGCTTTCCTATTTTCTTAAATTTTTTGGCCATTCTCCTGCAATATATAAATAAATAGATAAATATATATATATATATATGTGAGGAAGCATTTACTCACACACAAGTTTTACATACCATATTTATATAAAATCTCAATAATTCATTTTTTCAATAGTTGAGATTTATTCATATTTATTAAAAATAATTATTTTTTATCTTAAAAGTTATAATAAATCTTAATCATTAAAAGTGAAGAGATAAATGATTGAGACTTTGTATAAGTATGATGTATAAGATTTGTTTGTGAATAAATCCCTCATATATGTATATATACACATATACACACATGTTTTTTTTTTTTAAAAGACAAAATGAAATCATTGATTTGGAGTACAGGGGGTACTCCGAACCCTTTACATGATTTAAAACAGGCCAGCTAAGAACCCCTGTGACTTGAAATGGCAGGGCTCTTTTTTAACTGCCTAAGATTTACATAAGAGATGGGCATCTTAAACTACCAGGGACGGATTCAAGCAACTTATCGGATTGAGGATCCAGTCTGATACGGTGAATAGGCTTCCTCTCCTTTTGCCTTTGATCCATTTAAAGGCCCTCACCTGGACTAGTTCTAATAATCTTCCAGCCTCTACTTCTTTTCCTCTAAATAGCTTTTCATTTCTAGCTAACCAGATAGACCAAACAGCAGAGAACCAAATGCATTCCCAGCCCCCCCTCACCCCTTTAATGTTGAATATGAAGGGGTGCTGTTCAAACATCCTCCCACAATCTCTGTCTAACACCTGCTTACTACCCCACCATCTAAAACAACTATTCCATAGTTCCCACGCAATTTTACAATGAATAAAGAGATGATTGGAATCTTCACTTGCTAAGCCACAAAGAACACACTTCCTCTCTGCGATGTCTTGAATGATCCCCCTTTTCAACAGGTTCATCTTAGTTGGGATCTTATCTTGCAGCACTTGCCAGGCAAAAATGGAGATTTTGCTATGGATGAACTCTTGCCAAACTTTACTAATTGTTGGACTCTGCTGGACTGTCCTGTGATCCCTTGTCAAGGCCTGGTATGCTGATTTTGTTGTGTATATTCCATCCTTGCTATGTACCCAGTCCCTCACATCTGATTTTCCATCTACTATTTTGGTGGTTTGGATCACAGCCTTGAGTGCCTCCTCCTGGTGTTCCTCCCCACATATACACACATGTAGAATAACAAGAGGTCTTGATCAACATTAAAATATCAAGA